GCCCCCCCCCCCCCCATCTCTCTCTGTCCAAATCCTGCCCGTCCTCTGGGGTCCATCCCAAATGTCCTCTCCTCCAGGAAGCCCTGTCAGTCCCCCAGTTACAAATGCTCCCCACCACGCTCCTACATATGTGTGTCCAGCTCCTGAAGACCTCATGTGCCATCTTGTGCTGGGGCAGGCTTTTTTAAAGACTGACTGGACAGGGGGCGCCTGGGTGGCGCAGTCGGTTAAGCGTCCGACTTCAGCCAGGTCACGATCTCGCGGTCCGGGAGTTCGAGCCCCGCGTCGGGCTCTGGGCTGATGGCTCGGAGCCTGGAGCCTGTTTCCGATTCTGTGTGTCTCCCTCTCTCTCTGCCCCTCCCCCGTTCATGCTCTGTCTCTCTCTGTCCCAAAAATAAATAAACGTTGAAAAAAAAATTAAAAAAAAAAAAAAAAGACTGACTGGACAGAAAGATCCTAGGGGGCTCTGTCCCTCTCTTCCCTCTGTTCCTATCACATCTACAGGACCCTGCAAATAACAGGCACTGACAGTGGATGGGAAGGGAAGTGGACTGAGCACAAAGTGACCCTGAGCAGAAGAACATAAGTAAATTCCTAGGGTGGTGTGTGTGTGTGTGTGTGTGTGTGTGTGTGTGTGCGCGCGCGCGCGTGTGCGCATGTGTGGGTTTGAGAGAGAGCATGAGTACTGGAGTGAAGGCTGGGCATCCTGGCACCACTTTGCCCTGACGACTGCATGAAGCCCTCTCTCCAAGCCCACGGGATTTGTTCGCGGATCTTGGCACAGCCCAGCAGCTGAGATGCCAGCCTGCAAAGCGCCTCAGGAAACGTGGGCTGCTAACAGAAGTCGTGCCAGGGATCCACAGCGATGAGGGGCTCCAATCCATTTCTGTCACTCTGAAAGCCAGTTGGAGGCTGCATCACAAAGCGCCGAGCGTCCAGGCAAAAAAGGGGCAGCAGGCCCCCCCCTCCCCCACCCCCATCAGCTCTGGAGGGTTGTCCCCGCCTGCTGCTTGCTCACAAAGTCCGCCCTTCCGGGCCCCCGGGGCGGATCCCCTCCCCAGCAGCCTGGAGTTGCCCTGGATGAGAGTTGTCGAGGGGACTTCAAGACCATCCGCGACCCAGAGATGGCCCTCTTGTAACTGAGATCTAAGTGACTCATTAAAAGCAAAACAGAACAAAAGCAAATGTAATCATAGGAGCTGCTGCTGAGACTGATTTCGTCCACTTCTCCCTGCGTCCCTCCCCGCTGCCCTGCACAGCATGTCATTTTCTACATTTTTAAAATGAGGAAACCGAGGTTCCGGGAGGGTAAAGCCACACATTCAAGATGATGCAACTCACCCAGTGCACATGGATGGTCCTTGCACACCACCGACCGTGCACTGAGCTTCATCAGGGGTCACCTGCCTCCCCCACATAATCTGTCATTGCTGTGAGTGCAGTCGAGGCCCAAGAGGGGGACCAGGCACTGGCAGCTGGGGAGGAAAGAACTTATCTCATGTCCTTAAGCTGTCTCTACACAGTGGGGACAATTGACTGGGAGCTGTCTCCATCCAAAGGCTGCACTCGCGAACGAAGGCAATTAATTGAGGCTGGAGTCTACCGTGATTCCTGAGCCCCTCCCCTCCCAACAGCCTGGCATTTAGGGCCAGGAGACTAGAGGGGTTCCTGCCCCACCTGCCTGGCAGACAACTGTGGAGCTGGACTGCCCCCCGGGGCATCCCAGGACAGCTGTAGGGCTCACATTCCTGCCTTGCTGATCAGGTCACCAGCCACACGGTGGGTTGGGATGGGGGGAGAGGGTGGGGAGGAAGAGGGATGGGGGGGGTGGGGTAGTAGGGCTGGCGGTGGGGGATGGGTCTGATGGGGATCCTGGGCCAGGAATATCAGTGATGCTCTGATAGAACAGAGGATTACCGAGCTCAGTCTGGGCTGTGAGCCAGACAACCACCCACTGGGAGAACTTGGCCCATCAACCCCTCTCCCTGACTCTGAGTCTCCTCCTCACGTGTGAAAACAAGACATCCGAGCCACCATATTTGGTAGAGATGCTTCAGGGCTTCTTTAAACATTTGATTCTAACATCACTTAAAAAAAATATTTTAAACTATTCTAAAAGCTGTAGCAAAGACAACAGACACTCTCAGACACGCTCTCTACTCAAATTTTAACACGAGCACTGCTCCATCGTCACTCGGGCTTCTCCTGGGTCACTGAAGAGTGTTCCAGGGGCTCAAGGTGA